AGAAATTGGAAAATACTCCCAAGTTTGCCCCTGTCGAGATAAAAAGCGAAAGATTAAGAAATTAGACAAAAATTCTTCAAATTGTTAAGAGACAGTGGACTACCCTGAATAGTATTGAAAAAAAGGGAGAGAGAATAAAAGGTCAATGGACACCCTAGACTTAGTAACCGGGTCTCTTCACCTAAGTCAAGTATCGAGATTCGCATCAAACGGAAAAGGGAATGCCAAAGACAATTACCTAACACTTAGTAACCGGGTTTCTTCACCTAAGGCAAGTGTCGAGATTCGCGTCAAACGGTGGAAGGTAACAAAAAATAAGTATGCATATCAAATTCAGGGGTAGAAATCCGCTGTTAGAAATGATAAGAAGAATACATGTCTGATTTTAAAAATCAACCTCAAATTATCAAAACAACCTGCGAATGGAAGGGTAAATAAGATTTTTAAGCCAAGTTTCTATAATATTCAAAGTAAGACAGTTTTACCCCTTAAGCCCAATACCGATCTATACAGAGTTTGAGAATTCTGAAATCAGGATGCTTGAGTAATTCTGTTAGGGATGATCTTGAGATGGGAAGGATCTCTATGCTTAGTGTAATTTTAAGGCTGCATTGCTAAGGGACTAGCAATGGTTAAGTTGGGGGGTGTGATAACTCTGCATTTTGATGCCTTTAAGGCATCAATTCAGGGATATTTTCGGCCTTAGAGTAGTCAAATTGTGTCCTTTTCCCAATTAAGGTCTCTGTGCAAAACTGGGAACTTCTCATGGCGCCCTAGGGTTTAAAAACTACAAAAAGTGTGCCCTAGAATGGATGGTGGAGATTAGGAGTGGAGGGTGAAGTTAATCAGCTAGGGGCGGCTAGGGTTTCCTGAGAGTGAAAAGAATGAGTAAAAAGGTGCCCTAGGGTTTGCTAAAACGTGGGGAGCATGCTAATATAGTAGGAGGGGCGCCAAACTGGGTTTAGTAGCTAGGAGGCCCTTCTGCTTTCAATTTTTCACAAAAACACCCCCTCTCTCAACTGGACTTCACACCAGCTTCCCAAAATCTGCATTTTAGCCATGAAAACTTCCCAGTTTTGCATAGAGATCCTCAGAGGTCACAACATTGAAATTAATTGGGAAACGACACAATTTGACTACTCTAAGGTCGAAAATACCCCTGAATTGATGCCCTTAAGGCATCAAAATCAGAGTTATCATTTATCAAAAAATATTCTTATATATGTCATCAACAAATTTGATTTAGAATCCACTCTCATACCTACAGTGCTCTTTCTCGGTGAATAATCCAAGTCTTCTCTAATGTTAACTTGTACATCTTCAAGCAGAAAAGCTTCTTTTTTGGATCCAATTGGAACAATGTTTTCATCTACCAAGGGGCTTCCCTTTGGATAACTGACTTGCTCTTAGGTGCTGGTGCATCCAGGTAATTTGGTTCCTGGTGTAGATTTACATGACCAAAAGAGTACCAAACACTTGCAGATGAGTTACTTTTGAATTAATGAACTATTAAGGGAAAGAAAAGACATAAACACTTGTTTAATTTTAGATGATGATCATGATAAAATTCAACACCTTCAACATGCAACTATTAATTTCTTTATAATTAGCATCAATTCAAAAGACAGCCTAGACCAACTTAAGCAGAGCAATCAAACAATAAATAAATAGGCAATCCCTGAGGGTGTAAGTAAAAGTTTAGAGAAGCTGATGAGGGACTTCTTGTGGGAGTCAGGGGAGGACAGGAAAGATCTTAGGGTGAATTGGGAGATTCTCTCTAGAAATAGGGAGGATGGTGGCTTGAGGCTAGGACACATTAGGAAGAGAAATGAAGATCTTTTACGAAAGTGGTTATGGAGGTTAATAGAGGGCAGAGATAAGTTATGGGATAAGGTGACACTGAGTATACATGGGCTTGCTGATGATGGGTGGGACGCTGGACTGGTGGCAAGGACTACTAGAGCCTCTCCTTGGAGATCCATACATGCCATTCTCCCTTCTTTCTTGCAGCACATCAGTATGATCTTTGCTCAGGTAACCAGGTGAAGTTTTGAGAAAACCTTTGGGTGGGAGAAGTTCCTTTAAAAGATAAGTTTCCATCCTTATTCTCACTCTTTCAATTTAAAGGGGAACCTATCCCTTCCTTTCTGGTTCCTTCCGAGTCTACCTATGGTTTTGACTAGGATTTGGACTTTAGCAGAGGCCTTAGGGACTCAGAACTTGAGGATGCTTTGGAGTTAGTTCAAATTCTGAATGGGGTGGTTTTAGACCCATCAAATAGGGATAATAGGATATGGACTTTAACCCCTTATGTCTTCTTTTCCTGTGCTTCCTTCTTTAAGTCTTTGGTGTACTCCGCTAGCAGTAGCTTTCAAAATTTCCCAGTAAAGGAAATTTGGGGTAAACCGGTCCCTCTAAGGATTGGAGCTTTTTGTTGGGAAGCCTTCTTGGAAAGATGTAATACCTGTGATTTACTCCAAAGGAAAAGGCCTAATAGGTGCTTGTCTCCACACCGGTGCATCTTATGCAAGGCTGATGGTGAAAGTTACTACCACTTACTAGTTTCTTGCCCTTTCAGTTCTGATATTCGGGTTTGGTTTATGGATCTATTTGGGTGCAGGTGGCTCCCTCCCCCAAGCATACAAGGGTGGTTTGCTGCTTCTTTCTTTAGGTGTCCGAAGAAAAGAGGTAAAGTCATGTGGTGATGTTTGAGAGCTGCCATTTGTTTGACATTGTGGGAAGAAAGGAATCAAAGAACCTTCTTTGAGAAAGAAAGAAAGAAAAAAGACCTGATTGAGGTCATAACAGTTAGAGTGTTGCAATGGCTGAAAACTTTGGAGCTGTTTGTTGATGTCTCTGGTATGCTGCTGAACAATTGGAAAGAAGTGACCTCCTCTGTGCCAAATCAATCAATGGTGTGCCCTCTGTGGTCACCTCCATCCCCGGGGTTCTTGAAGTTAAACTTCGATGGGAGTAGTGAACGTAACCTGGGACCTTCAGGTGTGGGAGGTGTATTCAGAGATGAAAGTGGGATGGTGATTGCTTTATACTCAGCTCCCATTGGGTTGGGAGACTCTCTTAGAACTGAACAATTTGCTTTGTTAGTAGGGCTAAGGAAAGCGAAGGAGCTGAACATCCAAAAATTGATTATTGAAGGAGACTCTTGGCTAGTGTTAAATTGGTTAAGGAAGGGTAATGGATTTTGGATCTATGCTAATGAGAGAAGAGAGGTTAAGTGGCTGCTGAGGGGAGTGGAAATCCAGGTTCATTGGGTGAAAAGAACTGCAAATGCCTTTGCTGATAACTTGGCAAAACAGGGGGTGGGTAGGGGTCAATTGTTTTGGGCAACTCTGTAATTTTCTTGTTGTTTTGGGGGAGAATCAAGTCATTTTATCTCTCCCTAAATCTTGTATGTATTCTGATTTCTCATTTTAATGAATCTTGTTATCAATAAAAAAAAAAAAGAAAACTAACTCAAACAATCCCACTAAATGCCATAAGAACTACTGATATAATTAAGTATATTACTAATTTAATCTCAATTTGGGAATGGTTTTTCTCTCTGTTTGGATGTAGGTGGAATCCTCCAGCAAACGTTCAAAGCCTTTTTGCTCCAGCTACCTTTACATGGCCAAAGAAAAGGGGAAGACTTATGTGGAGATGCACAAAAAAGGAAACAGTATGAACAATTTGGGAAGAAAGGAGATCAAGAATATTTTTGGAAAAGGAGAGAAGGCATAATTGAAACAATAATGATCAGAGTGGCTCATTGGCTGAAATCTTTGGAAACTTTCTCAAATGTCTCAATGGATGACAAACTTAGAAAGTGGAAGGAAGTGGCAGATTCATGTTAAAATAAGACTGTCATCAATCATCAATGGTCTCCACTAGAAAGAGGGTTCATCAAACTTTGATGGTAGTAGCAAGGAAAACCCAAGAATCTCAGGTATTGGAGGAGTATTTAGAGATGAGGGGTGCAAGATAATTGCTCTTTACTTAGGACCGGTGGGGGAGGGTGATTCTCTTAGAGGGGAATATTGGCATTGATGGAAGACCTGCAAAGGGAAAAAATATTAAACATTATAAAACTACTTATTTAGGGTGATTCAAAGCTGGTTGTGAGTTGGATACAAGGTAAAGAGATGAAATTATGGACTTATAATAATGAAAATAAGAAGTTCAGATGGATAACTAGAGACATGGAAGTAATTGTTTGTTGGATCAAGTGAATGCCAATTCTTTAGCTGATGCATTAGCCAAACAAGGGGTGGGGAGAGAATCCCTGTGCACAGTTGTAAGTGAGAAAATTGGTTTTGGGGGTGAGATAAGAGGTTTTATCTCTCATTGAATGTTCACAGTAATTAAACTCCTTGTACTCTTACCTCTTTTTAATAATAATGGAATTTGCAGTTATCAATCAAAAAAAAATCTTATTGTCTATTTGAATATATAATTTTCAGTGAACAGTAAGTAATATTAATTTACTAACTGAACTTACTTATTGATTTCTGAATTTCATTTTCTTTTTTACAATTTATGCAACACATGAAAATTATAAATGCTAATCATGTTTATTTTGAAGTGTTTTACAGGTGAGAAATGAATTTTCATATTTTTTTATTTATTTTGCTATTTTCTTTTTCATGTAATTTATTTTAGATTTATATATTTATCTACTAATTAAAAAAAGGCAATCTCATGAAGCTAATGGCATGTACTTCAGGCAAGTGCAACACCATGAGTCACACCTTAGCATCAGAAAATGATGAAAATCATATCTTGTGAATTAGTTTTTGAAAAAAAAAATACTTCTTGACCTAGTATTGTAGATAGCCTTATCGGCCCAATTTTCTTCTTTAATCAAGATTCATCCTTTCTATTTGACTGGACTTTAATGTGGACAATGCAACAAGAAAATTCATAGCAAACCCAAGATAAATGCAAACAGAACAGAATGAGATTTACTAGGCAAAAAATTCCTTGAACTGAAATATTATTACTTTTCTGGTTAGTTTCAGATTCAGCCAAAGAATGTTGTGGATTTAAGTCTGCATCTCCCTTAACATGTCGTACTGCATCCCCTGAATCAATACATCAAGATATGAGCATAACAAATAAGTATGAATTATTTCTTTCACTACACTACAGAACAAGTGGATGTCAATTAAGTCATATTCAAAATTGAAGCAGAAGCTACATAACCAACCTAAAGGGTTTTTATCAGACACCATTGCTTGGTGCAATGATAAAACCTCAGGCTAACAAGCCAGCGAATGCAGGTTTGAGTCTGAGAGCACCCACTTTGTGCCAAAAAAAATTGCCAAAGTTTAGGTCAGCATCCAGTCTACCCCTCAAAAGACCCAGGAAGTTGGGACCATCATCATTGGGTAATGGTCATTGTAGTGTTTGTATGCAAATATTTTGGTCCAAAAGGTAAAGCAGTTGCAAGTTCTAATAGAAATAATGTATAACATTTCTAGCAGGCATTCAGTGTTCAAATGTATTAAACAGTTTTATAATCTCCTCAATCTATGTAGTTCATTGCTCACCTGTGCGTTTACCCTTTATCAACTCAAAAACAGAGGAGAACCAATTTGAACTCCTAGCAGGTTTCTGTTGTACACTTTGCATATTTTCATCATTACTTCTATCCCCAAAACATGGGAATAATTTAAAACCATTAGCTGTTAAATTGGACAAAAGAGTTAAATCTGTCAGTTATGGAACAGTTATAAATTAAAAATAAATAAAAAAAAGCTAGAACCTCACAATCAACCATGTTAAAGTCACACATGCTTATCAAAATGTGATAAGTACCTTCACAAAACAAAAGTTCCACCACAAATTAAACTATTGGTCAGTTAATATGAAAAATAAGCAGATATTTATTGTAACCAGAACTTCCCTATATGATGTATGTGTAAAAGGTATCACATTACGAAGATTTTTTTATTGATGGATTTAATTTTTTATGGATAACAGCTACTTTGAATGAGTATGTACTTAAGGTCATTGATATTACTGATTATTGTAAGAGAATAACATACAGTATCAGGGGCAATATTGTAATCTTGAATCTTCATATAAGTTTTCTTTTGATAAGTAAATCTTCATATAAAGGCTAGGTTAACTCTAGACAACCTAGCCTTTAAGGATGAACTGAAATGGAGGCAAAGAGCTAAAGTCAAATGGCTCAAAGCGGGGGACAAAAATTCGAGTTTTTTTCATAAGATTACAAGTGCAAGAAATAGGTTTAATCAGATTGAGAGAGTGGAATTTGAGGGTCATGTGGGAGAGAATGGGGTTGAAATGAAAAATATTGCCACCAAATATTTCTCAGACTTGTTTATGGAAAGTTGGGCTAGAAGACCTCTCCCGGCTGATCTTAATTTTAGGAGGATTTCAGAGTCCCAGCAAAGAGAGCTGGAAGCCCCCTTTACAGAGGCTGAAATTTTGCAAGTGTTAAGAATCTGGAAGTTGATAAATCCCCAGGGCCGGATGGTCTCACTAGTCTTTTCTATAAGAAATGCTAGAAGGTGGTGAAAGTGGATATGCTGAAAGTGTTTCAAGACTTCCACCAATCTTCTGCTCTGGAAAGAATCTTGAATTCCACTTTCATTTCCTTAATTCCTAAAGTGGAAGGTGCAACAAACATCAAAGATTTTATAATTTAGACCCATCAGTTTGCTAAACAGCTTCTACAAAATCTTGGAAAAGGTTCTAGTAGAGAGGATGAAAAAAGTCCTTAGTACTGTGATTGCAAAAAATCAATTTGCTTTTGTGCCAGGTAGACAAATGTTAGTGTTTTGGTGGAAAACAAGCTGATAGACTCAAGGAAAAGAGAGAGTAAACGCTGCTCTGTAAACTGGATTTGGAGAAGGCTTATGATCATGTCAACTGGAAATGTCTGGATTTTGTTTTGGAAAAGATGAACTTCGGTTTGAAGTTCTAGTAAATGGAGAGTCAGCTGACTTCTTTAAGAGTTCCAGAGGCCTAAGAAAAGGGGATCCCCTATCCCCCCTCCTATTCATTTGTGTAAAGGAGATTTTGTTTTCGTTTGTCAACAGAGTAGGAGAAGAGGGTCTGTGGATGGGGTTTGAGTCAGTTCCAGGAGGAGAAAAGGTTCAATTGCTTCAATTTTCTGATGACACCCTGTGTTTTATTGATGGTGAGGTAGATCAATTGGGGGTCATGCTAGGGGTGCTGAGCTGGTTTGAAGCTGTGTCAGGTCTGAGAGTGAACTGCACAAAGAGTAGAGTAATTCCAGTGGGGAAAGTAGAAAATCTTGAAGCATTAGCAGAAGCTCTTGCTTGTCAGATCGGCTTTCTGCCGACCATGTACCTAGGCCTCCCTTTGGGGGCTAAATGCACCTCCTCTCTAGTGTGGGACCTGGTGGTGGAAAGGTTAGAAAGGAAATTGGCATCTTGGAAAGCCAAATATCTTTCTTTGAGAGGTAGAATTACTCTCCTAAAAAAGTTCTCTTTCTAACCTACCTTCCTACTTCCTATCTCTATTCCCAATCCCCACAAAAGTGGCTCAAAAAGTAGAAAGGCTCCAGAGGGATTACCTGTGGAAGGGTTGGGAGGAGAAAAAGAAAATCCATCTGGTCAGTTGGGAACGAGTTTGTACTCCAAAAGAAAAAGGTGGTTTGGGGGTGAGAAAACTGAGAACTTTTAACAGGGCATTATTGGGGAAATGGATTTGGAGATTTGCAAAAGAAAGAGACAGTTGGTGGAGAAAATTACTAGCAGCCAAGTATGACACCGACAGAGGTGACTGGTTAACCATTTCAAACCTCCCTTCTTTGGGATATTCTCTTTGGAAGAAAATTGTTGAAATCTGTTAGTTACTTAGTTTCCTTATTTAATTAAATTAATTCTTTGTTATTTTTCTGTTCTTTAGTGCTGCAGGGGCATTCTTGTAATCTTACTTTCTTTTATTATTAGTTAGGACGCCCTAATATAAATATTAATGACTGGCGCCGCCAGACTGAACTTTTTTATCCCAGAATTCTCTTCGTCTCTCTTCTCTTTTCTCTCTTCCTTTCTTCTCCCTTTCTTTTTGTTTCTCTGATATGCTCAACCCAGAAAACATGGTATCAGAGCAGGTTTTCTGGGGTTAGAAGCAGTGCGACAAAGTCTTCTCAGTTTCTTCTTCCTCAATCTCTCAGTTCCTCCTCTACTGTGGATCGAATCTGATTAGGGAGTGGATCGAACTGATTTGAAGGGCTTTCTTTTAGGTTCTCTTCCTTTCTTTCTTGGTCATGTGCCAAGAAAACCCTAAAAGAAGGGAACTCTGATGCTGTGAAGGCAAGTCTTCTTAACCCTGTGGGTCGTGTGATCCTTTCTTGTACCCAGGTAAGTGGGTTTTAGAGGTCTGGATGACCTGCAACCACTGTGACTTTTTTATGGAACTGTGGATCGGGGGGATCCTGTTTCTTATACCCAGACAACTGGGTGGTGTAGGTCTGAATGACCTGTGAATGTGTGACAGTGGTTTGCCAATGTCTCTTGGGGAATTATAGTGGCTGTGTGCTCAAGTAGTTGATGAAGGATTATATATAAGGGCTGCCTAGTTCCTGAATTGCCTCCTTATATGTGTGTGATGTTCCTAAGATCTGTTTTTTGACTGAACTAAACTGGGCTTCCCGTGGAACTGTGAACTGAACTGAACTGTCAAATCAGACCTTATATCATGTCATCTGAGGATTCTAGTGTGTCTAGTGGGCCTTCCAATCAAGGTGGAGTGAGTGGAGGATTTGATATGAGCTTCCCCATGGATGTAATACCGTTTGATGGCTCTTTTTCCACCATTGTTGGTCAAGGCACTATATCCCTTCCTTTTGGACATACCCTTTCTAATGTGTTACATGTTCCACAATTGCCTATAAATTTGTTTTCTGCCAGTAGAACAAACTCATTAAACTGTTCAGTGACATTTTTTCCCTTCTTGTGTACTACAGGATTTGGACTTGGGGAAGGTGATTGGTAGAGGTCGTATGGTAGATGGTCTTTACATGCTAGAGAATAAAGCTAGTCTTGTAGTTATTGAATCTACGAGTCAGTTTAGTAAAAGTCAGGTCTATTTATGACATAGTCATTTGGGTCATTTATCTTTTGAGTCACTAAAGGTCTTGCTTCCAAATTTGTTTAAAGCAGTGTTAGTGTCTAAATTTAAATGTCAAACTTGTCAGTTGAGCAAACATTGTAGAAATCATTTTTTTTCAAGAAATAATAAATCTGATTTCCCTTTCCATATTGTTTACTCTGATGCTTGGGGCCCTATTACCTTACCATTTGAGCTTGGCTATAAATACTTCATTACACTTATTGATGACTACTCCAGATATACATGGGTGTATCCCATGCAGTCCAGAGATGAAGTGCCAAAAATTGTAAAAGATTTCCAACGCATGATATTCACTTAGCTTCAGACGGAGATTCGAATTTTCCAATCTGACAATGGAAAAGAGTACTTCCACAATGACCTCACAGAGTTCTTTGCTTCGTGTGGGTCTATCCACCGTAGCTCTTATGCCAAAACTCAACAAAATGGTGTTGCAGAAAGGAAAAACCGCCATCTCCTTCGTGTGGGTCTATCCACACGTTATGTGCTGCCTATCTCATCAACCACATGCCATCTTGCTTGCTAGGGTATAAAGCCCTCCATCGGCTCCTCTTCCCTAACGCTCCTCTTTCTTTTATCCCTCTTCATGTGTTTGGTTGTCATTGTTCTGTGTAAAATCCTTATTCGATTCTAGGTTACAGTAGAGAAGAAGAAGAGAAAGAAGAAGAAGAGAAGAAGAAGGAGGAGGAGAAGAAGGGCTCGGCCAGATGAGGAAAATCAGTCCTCTCTAGTCGACCCACTTGTATTTATCTCAAAATAAGTTTGGTTACAAGAAAGACTATATTGCCCCTCATAAGTGATGGGGCACACAACTTAGACCTGAATAAAACAAACCTTTCACTCTCACACAAATACACCCAAATGACCAAAATACCCCTGTTTTGTGAACTCTAACACCCCCTCAAGTTAGAGAGTATATGTCATATAGTCCCAACTTGTCACAAATATAATCTACTCTGTCTCGAGACAATCCCTTTGTAAAGAGATCTACACACTCACATGAGATGTGGTTATCACTCCACTGATCACTTTCTCTCTTACAAAGTGACAATCAACCTCAATATGCTTGGTTCTCTCATGGAAGACTAGATTGGAAGAGATGTGAACAGCTGCATGGTTATCACAGTATAGTCTCATAGGTTTGTCAACCGAGAACCCCATCTCTTGTAGCAAGTTCTTCAACCATACTAGTTCACATGTGGTATGAGCCATAGCTCCGTACACAGCTTCTGCACTACTCCTTGCCACCACGATTTGTTTCTTGCTCTTCCAAGTTACAARATTGCCACCTAGGAAGGTACAATACCCTGTAGTTGATCTCCTATTTGATACAGAACCAGCCCAATCAGCATCAGTATACCCTACTATATCAAGGGGCCCTCCACTTTTATATAGCAAACCACGGCCTGGAGCACCCTTCAAGTACCTAACAATCCTTAAAAATGGTTCCCAATGAGGAACCCAAGGATGTTGCATAAACTGACTCACCATATTCACAGAAAATGATATATCTAGTCGGGTAATAGTCAAATAATTCAACTTTCCCACCAACCTCCTG